CATGGCATGTAGCGCCACAACGCGGAATAGCTTAAACACTACCGCATATAGTATATATTTATATTCAAATTAGGAGCGGAATTCAGATGGATTAACGCATTGAATCAATGAACCGCCACGTACATTGTTAAAACATTCGACGTGGATGATCAAGCGTGGGAAAGTCGAAAGTCAGGAGAAAAAAGGGAACGTTCGCTGAAAATATTTAATAGATTCATTATAGGCTGCGTCGAATCGCCGTTTCCGTTGGAATGCATTTCTTTAGAATTCGAGTCGAGTTAGCTTTTGTTCCAGCTCGTAGGATCCTTGAAAATAATAAACTCGCACTGTACCTCGGTTCGCGTTTCCGGCGACTTCTTCAAGAGGGTAATAAGTCTCGCTGGCGCGTTTTCCCCTCTCTCTAGACCTTCGCGCTTTCCTTTTTCACATGTAGCCCTGCACAAACATGGCCGCGCGACTCCCACCTCCAATCGACTCGGGGGTGGAATCCGAGATCGATGAAGATCACCGATAGAAGGAGTAGGGCGCAACCCCCGATTGGACCAAGACAACCCTAAGGGAGGATCGGGAATCTTCAGGAGAAGGGAGAGAAGCAGCAGATCGAGCGAAGATTTTTCCAGAGAAATCAATCGTAATCGAATCTCTGGGAACGAACTACGAAACGATTTTTAAATCAAACGAGTCGACCGAATAAACGTCTTTGCTTTTTCTTAAAAGTATTTCGAATTTTATTTCACGCGCCTCTCCGGGCAGAGCGGTTCAGCGCTCTACGGGCACCTTACCCACGTCAGAAAATTCCCTATCATCGCACGACGCGTTCCGCAACATGAGCAACACAAAAGTTATCCACTACCCTAACGAAGCCAGGCGGAGCATCAACCAATCACAAATGCGCATCCAGTTCCAGATGTCTCATCGTGCACGCATGATTCATCGACGCTCCGCTTGGCGTCGCCTGGGAAAAAATTCCGCTACATTTAGGACATTTTATGCTTGTCGCCGCCGTGTCGCACACGTCGCTAAAATCCGCTACGTGTAGCGGAGTTCCGCTACGTCTGGCAACACTGACTGGAGTGTGAACTCCTGTAGGAAGAAGTAGAGGCGACGGAGGTCCGAGAGAAATGCAAAATGGGTGGTTCCGGTATTATCCTATAGCAAATTTATTTGTAGAGGGGGAACAAACGTACGCCGTAACATAACCTACTCGAGCATCGCTGAGCATTGTCGAGTGAGTTACTTTCAGATTCTTTTCCGCATAAAATTCGATAAATACAATATAAATTGAATTGTGACAAATAATAAAATTTAGCTCTATACCAAATTGTATATACAGAGTGTCCCAAAAATGTTATAACACCTTGAAAGGGGTGGTTCGGGAGGTGATTTCAAACAACTTTTTCCTTAGCAAAAATGTTGTCCGAGGCTTCGTTAAAGAAATATTAACAGAAAACCCCGATCAATCAGAGCACGCGTATACCGTTTGAGCGGCCGCGCTCATACGCTACCGCGACCGCCTATCGCGTAGCCTACGCTCAACCGGCATACTCGCATTCTGATTGGTCGGAGTTTTTGATAATATCTCCTTAACGAAACCTTGGACAACATTTTCGCTAAGGAAAAAGTTGTTTCAAATCACCTCCTGAACCACCCCTTTCAAGGTGTTACACATTTTTAGGACACCCTGTATTTGTATGATCTAAATTATAGTATGTAAATTATGTATACTATTTCATTATTATGTCATTATTATTAATGTTTCTATCGTTTTATGTATAAATAAAAAGGAAATGAAGTTCAAATCTATACGAATATTTTTTTTTATGCATCAAATAATTCCTAGTGCCGCAAAAAACAAACAAAGAGGAGTTTGTTCTCCCTCCACACATAAATTTGCTATAGGATAGTACCGAAACCACTTATCTTGCATCTCTTTCGGACCGGCTTCTATCTCACAGTTCGCACTCCAGTTAGGATAGAGCCATTGAGCTGATTTTGCAATTTCGGCCTTAAAACTTTATAAACAATAAAAGTACGTTTTTTTTTCTTATAGAAGAAATTTGTTTACATATACTTTTTCCAACATCGGGTCTTGGAATCGCATCCGCCAAAGTGTAACGAATATACAGGGTGACTCCGAAGAAACAGAACACCTAAATATCTCCGTTACATTTCGTTGTACAAAAAAACTTCTTAGGACAAAGTTACACTATTTGAAGGGCCACATGTAACGGTCTTAAAAAAAATTTCAAGGTTTTTTTTTTTAATAAAATTTCAAGGTCATCGATGTTTCTTTAAATGGAATGATATATTTTCGTTAACGTAATGTTGTAGCTGACAAAATAACGAATTCATCCATGTACTACAATATGACCTACAAATGACTTTCACCCAGAAAAATGGAATAAATAAAATTCAACGTGTAAGATTCATTTGCTTTATTCCTGTAACGCAAAATGTTCAAAATATTTTGAATATTCAAATTAATATTAACTTGCGCTGCTATACATTCAAATGTATCGCAATATACAACATAATAACAGATTCGGTGTTGACAAGAAGACATTTATAATATACCTTTATCTATGTGTTTGTACACATTCGTGTTTACAACTGCTGATCAGTCTGAAGACGTTCCTGCTCTCTGATTTCTAATTCTAATGTTTCCTAAGATTTCTAATCTTACACGTTGAATTTTATTTATTCCATTTTTCTGGGTTGAAAGTCATTTGTAGGTCATATTGTAATATATATCATTCCATTTAAAAAAACATCGATGACCTTGAAATTTTATAAAAAAGAGACCTTGAAAATTTTTTTTTGAAGACATGTGGCCCTTCAAGTAGTGTAACTGTGTCCTAAGAAGTTTTTTTGTACAACGAAATGTAACGGATATATTTAAGTGTTCTGTTTCTTCGGACTCACCCTGTATTAGAAGCAGAATTATTAGAAAATATTGCTTCTTTGCTTCAATATCCTTGAAAAAAATCATGCTAGCCTAATCGCCTTGTCCTCATCTCTCCTGCAATTGTTGTATCGCCCTCTCTGTCTTTGTTTCGGAGTTTCCTACTTTTTCCGCGACTGTCGCTGAAGTCAATTCGGAATTTTGTTCTAAAAATGGTGCACAATTGTGGCATCCCTGGTCACAGTAGTTTCATACTAGTAAGTAAAGTAAGTTATCTGAAGGTGGTAAGCAAGTGGTAAGAACGGCTGTAACTTCTTGACTTCTTACTTTTCGAGATTTGTTGTAATCGTCGTCTAACAGTCATTGACTGACAGCTGCTGACAGCCTCGTAAAGGTGTGGTTGAAGGTACGTTATAACACGATAACTTTAAAACATTTCATCAAAATAAATATTGAAAAGCTTACAGAAGACACGACTAAAAACGTGGCGAACAAACACAGAATTTATATCTTCTGTCCAACGTACAATGACAAAGTACGTATGCAATTACTGCAACAAGGCTATTTATGGAGAGCACACTTTTAACATCTGTCAAGAGTGCAAACGATAATTTTTACTATTTTTCTATTTTTTAATTGAAATATTATAATACGTTTTTTAAGTTATGCTAATTTGTTTGAAAGAAATAATGGAAATATAAAAATATACTTGTTTTTAATTCGTAGTGTATGAGTTGAATGGTTAGTTACAGAGTAACACTGGTTTAAATTTAGTTATCTAGGGTAATTAAACATAATATATTGGATAAACTGTAATTAAATTGCAATCATTGGCGTGGTTATTGATAATCTTGTAGTGATGTGACCTTAAATGAAATATGTAAGTTAAAAAAAAGGAAGTTCTATTAAATATATTAATATATTACAATAAACTATTACAATTTGTATGAAATTTTACTCTTGGATGATTGTCAGAAAATATTTACTTACTAAGCGTAAATTACGAATCATAGATGAACAAATATTGGAAGATGATCAGGAAAAACTGTATTACAGCGAGACATACAGAACAATGGTCAAGCCAGGACAATCCAGACCATCAAGAATGAATGCTTTCTCAAATATGGGCGATGATGAACTATTAGAAGAAATTTTAAATCTTCAACCTCTTAAAGAAATGAAATTCACTATTACATCTTCAATCAAATATGGAACAATTGTTGGTGCAGCAACAATTGTTTCTGGTATTCTTGGTGGACCTGTGGGGCTTACAGTTGGTAATTATTGTTTATGTTAAATACTTAATGTAAATGCGCAAAATATAATGATACAAAAATGTCTATTTTTAGGAGGTGTAGTTAGCAGTTGTATAGTAGGTTATGTATCAGGTCAAGAATATGAATCTGTTCCATACATTCTTCTGTATAAAACAACCCCAGCAGAAAGACAGAAATTGTTGAAAGTAATTCTGAATTATCTTCGAAAACATGATGTAACAATAATTAAAATTCTATATACACTACATAGTAAAGAGGCATTAATATCAGGTATACAAAAGATAATACGTGAATTTTTGATGGAGTTAGATCTAAAAGTTGCAAAAACATGGTGATCAATGAGAATGCCAATTAAGGAGCACTATGGAAATGTTTTTATATAGTTGTATTCTATGAAAAATTGTATTTTTATAACTTTGTTGGTAGAATCTAATTGATTGATTAATTACTTAAATTCAACCATTAAATATAAAATGTAACAGCCATTCTTTACAATTAAGTAAGGTTATTCCTTTGGTATGATTTATCTCCATAAAAATTTAAAAAAAGTAAGAAAATGACGCCAAGTACATGAGAAAGTCAAGAACAAAAAGGAGTGTTACCAAATAAATCACAAAAAAATAGAAGATCCCCACTAAAAACTACATGAAAGTAAAAAAAGATGTGAAATTGAAATGAGCTGCAAGTACATAAAGATGTTTTCAGGAAAGTGGAAAGGCGACACTGTAACAATGTAAAATACGGGTACACTTTCATCATTTTGCGTTTAAAAATAATTCTTATTTATCGACACCTTGGTATTCGACTATCCGATTATTCCTCACTCTGACCTATATCTGTCAAACGATGTATACAAGTGTTTCTTGTTTGCACAAAATGAACATTTACTTAAATTATGGCCCCTGAGACAAAGTTTAACCAATCGTTCAATTTACGGCGTCCAAATGTTACGAATTGTTACGAATCCAAACAGGGAGGTTATAAATAGTGATGGGCACAATCGACTGAAAACTATCGAGAATTCGATAGTAGCAGACGACTGTTTTCATTCGACTGAATTTATGCGGTGGGAAAGCAGTAGGAGTAACGACTACTGACTGAATCTGCAGTCAGTGATGGACATTCGTGGGATTTTTCCTGATCATGCGCATTGGAGCGAGCGTTGCAGTCCTCACTGCTGTATACACTTACTTAGAATTTAGGGTACCATTGGATCCCAGTAAGGAACAAATATAATGTCCTCTTCTTTTCCTCGATGATTCCTGACGTGGACGGCTGCGGTTCGTTATGATTTTTTTTTAATTTTCCCTAATATTACACTCACGAACACTAACACTCTTATACTTAATTTGTCCGTTAAAAACGCGGAAAAATTGCACAGGCCTCTTAAATTCACCTCCTCTGGCGGTTCGGATACATGTATGGTAGTAGACGACATGTAGCTGTGATGTCAGCTTACGCATGCACAGAAAGGAATTTCTCGAAGGAAAAATCCCACGAATGTCCATTACTGTCTGCAGTGGTAGGACATGTGGGGTATCGACTGAATTTAAGCGGAACTTTTGAATTTAAATAGATTTAAGAATGCGGAGGAGTCAGAACAGAATTCCGAATTGACTTCAGCGATAGTCGCGGAAAAAGTAGGAAACTCCGGGACAAGGACAGGGAGGGCGGTACAACAATTGCAGGAGAGATGAGGACAGGGCGATTAGGTTAGCATGATTTCTTTCAAGGATATTGAAGCAAAGAAGCAAAATTTTCTAATAATTCTGGTTTTAATATATTCGTTACACTTTGGCGGATGCGACTCCAAAGCCTGATGTTGGAAAAAGTATATGTAAACAAATGTCTTCTATAAGAAAAAAAGAAACGTACTTTTATTGTTTATAAAGTTTTAAAATAACTGGCCACCCCTCACTGAGCCGCTCAGGCTTGTGGGCGCTCTGCACCTTGGACGAGTCGATGATAATGACGCAGTACCCCCTGCAACTCTCTTCGGTAGGAATGGAATAACGAAATCGTTATTAAACACAATAAAACTTTATTTCTATCGGCAGACATTCCACGTGTCGCAGTTTCTACTCTCTGAATAGTTTCTCTACCGTCTTCAATTTTCCCGCGCGTCAATTGTTTCTCCCCCACTATTCGGGGAGTCGTAAAGGTCGATCCCCACACACTCCCCCCCTAGTGTCGACGAGCTCTTTTTTGTACATACTTTAGGGAATTATACATTTTGCCAACCTTACAAATAATGCAGCGGATTACAGTATTTATATACAGTGTCTTAATATCTAGTAAATTACAATGTATTCTTACAAGCTACCTAATATTACTTGCGATAAACTATATCTGATATGTCTTGTTCATCGCTGTCACTTTCTTTCGCGCATAAGTCTTTGGCGTAGAGGTACTTGGTTCACCTATCAGCGTTTCTCCTGTGGTTTCTGTCGTGAGATCTTCAGGAACGAAGTACGCTGGTTTCAATAGTTCTGTATTGACTACGCGCGGTGTACGTTCGCTGATTCTCTCTAGCACTTTGTGTGGACCAGTATACGGTCGTTCCAGGGGTTTTTTTAATCATTCCTGTCTTTAAAAATACATGGGAGCATGTATGTAATTCTTTATAAAAGAATGCACGTTTCTTGTGTTTATGTGCTACTGAAACGGGTCTTACATTGCGCATGTGCTCGCGGAATTCCTCCACGAAAGTTTGAGGATTTGGCGCGTACTCATCCGAAAGACAAAATTCGCCGGGAACTCTAAGTGTCGTGCCGTAAACATATTCCGCGGGAGATGCACCTGTATCTAATCGCACATGTGTTCGCAATCCTAGTAAGACTGTGAATAATTGTCTTATCCAGTTTTTGTCCAAGTGACACATTAACGTTGTTTTTAGGATGCGGTACCAACGTTCTATTAGTCCATTTGCGGACGGATGATAAGCCGTAGTTCTAACACGGTTGCATCCCGTTAGCGATAATAACGCGTTAAATGATTGGGACTCGAATTGGTTTCCTTGATCCGTGGTTAAGGTTTCTGTTTTGTCTGTGCTGACGTTTCTTTTAGCGGTACTGCCTCGGCCCATCGCGAGAATCTGTCTATAAGTGTCAAACAGTACCGATAATCCTCGAAGTTAGGTAAGGGACCAATCAAATCCATGTAGACGTGTTTAAATCGTCCGTCTGGCCGAACAAATTGTTCCGGATGATTTTTGACGAGTCGAGAAATTTTGGACTGCTGGCAGTCAAGATATTCTTTGCACCATTTCGTGATTTCACGGTGCTTGTTCAGCCACACGTACCGCTTCCTGATTACTTGGTCCGTTACCCTGGCACTAGCATGGGGATGATAATGAAAAATGTCAAACACTCGTCTGCGAAGCGGCGCAGGAATGAACGGACGTAAGATTTCTCCCGTTAAATCACAATATATGCGATGGTGATCCGGTCCCCATTCTATACTTTTTAGTACTAGTGAATGTTCTGACGATTCTATCAGTGTTTTTAATTCCGGATCGATTTTTTCAAGTTCCGACACTTCCACGAGATCAAATTCTAACGGTAAACGAACGGACTCAATTCGGGATAACGGATCAGCTACTACGTTTTCGGAATCTGATATATATTCAACGCAAGTAGTGAATTGCGAGATAAACGATCATTGTCGTCGCTGTCGCGGGGATGCCTTGTCCGCATGCTGATGAAAAGCATACGTCAAAGGTTTATCGTCGGTCGCGATCTTGAATTCTCTACCTTCTAAAAAGTGTTTAAAGTGCTTGACCGCTTCGTACATCGCCGTCAACTCCCGGTCGTAGGCGCTGTAATTTAATTGCGCGGAGCTAAACTTTTTAGAGAAAAAGATTAGCGGTTTCCATGAATTGTCTAAATATTGCTACAGGGCTGCGCCCATAGCGAAGTCGGATGCGTACGTGAAGACGCGGGTTGTCGCGTTGGGTGCAGGATGACCCAGCAGTGTCGCATTGACTGGTTCCTCTTTGATTTTCAGAAACGCTTTTTCCATTTCAGGTACCCATTGGATTTCGCGCTTATCGTTTTTTTTGGAACCTTATATATTCTTGTGGAGTGGCGCTTCAGTTTTCGCGGCATTTTGTAAACCACGGCGATAATGATTTACCATTCCTAAAAATCTACGCAATTCCACGATCGTCTGAGATTTTGGAAATTTTAGAACTGCTTCTACCTTATCTGCCGTCGGCCTGGATTCCTCCCGATCTACCAAGTAACCTAGGAAGGTCAATTCTTTTTTTCCGAACTCACACTTCGCTGGGTTTATGCGCAAGGAAAATTCCTTTAATCGTTCTAAAACCATTCGCAGATGAATTTCGTGATCCTCAAGAGAGGAGGAAGCTACGAGGATATCATCGATGTATGCAAACGCGAAGTCTAGGTCTATGAGCGCGCGGTTAATATTATATATCGTTGGAAGGACTGACTCGAATTGCGGAGACCAAAGGGCATAGTTGTGTATTCAAAGAGACCAAACGGTGTTATCACCGCGGTTTTAGGAATATCCTCAGGCGCCACCGAAATTTGGTGGTACGCTTTGAGGAGATCTATTCTGAAAAATATAGTTTTTCCCCTTAAATTGCTAGAAAAATCATGTAGGTGCGGTATCGGGTACCTGCCGGGCACAGTAACCGCGTTAAGGCGACGATAATCGCCACAGAATCTAAATTTGCCGTCTTTTCTATCCGCCAAGTGTATGGGGCTTGCCCACGGACTACTCGACGGTCTGCAAATTCCCAGCTCCATGAGATGTTTAAACTCGGTCTTGGTCTCGCCTCGCGCGTTCAGCAACCGGAGGACCATTTGTTATGATGTAATGGAGCACTTGTTTGGATTGCATGGGTTTGACAGGAGCTTGTCCGGTCACTTCCGGAAATTCTGACAACAACTTAGAATAGTCGGATGATTTGTCTAGGACGCTAATCCCTAAGCTGGTTACAGCAGGTCTGCTCCTATGATCGGTTGAGGAACTGCCGCAACGCGAAAATCCCAGGTAATTGGGCGTCTTAATTTAAGGTTTAACGTGAGACGCTTTTCGCCAAATGTATCGATCCGCGAATTATTAGCCGCAAAAAGTTTGAGGTCGGAGGACTTCGGATTCAAACTCCTATCAACCGAAACTAAGGAGATCTCTGCTCCCGTGTCGATAAGGAATTTCAACCCAGATTCTATATCGTGAATATGGAGACGCCTTGACTCTACAAGACCCTCGCCCACCGCCTCCAAGCGGGCAGGGTTATCTAGTTTTCCGACTTCTGCTGAGCCTCCCATGCACATGGCTTTTTGCAAAACCGCGATTTATCTCCGAA